AAAACAAGTAAGAATTGAAGATTGCTCACAAAATAGGCAAGAAAGCCCTATAGATTTTGGCCAAGCAAGGGAAAGTGGCTGAAATTAAGACACAAAACGTGCCTAAATTCTCCCATGGACGAATCAAGACACAAATCAAAGCCAAATCCATCCAAAGGCAAGCTTTGAGAAGTTTATATGTACAAGGTCCTCAAACATTTAAGGTGGACAATTTCTACATTGAAGGGCCAAAATTCTCACAATAGGATAACCTCTGCCAAATCTTTGAAGACTAATACGTTGCCAAAGCTCTCTTCGAAGAATGTACAACCAAAGCTGAAGCTTTCTTTCGACCAAAGCTGAAGCATTCCCTTGAAGAATCAACAAGCACTTGTCCTGATTCCTTCAAGACTTTGTTGCAAGCTTAAAACTTGTAACAACGTTCGATTCAAGATCAAGTCGCCAAGACCCTTGAATCAACAAAATCCCACATCAACATCACGTTTGTCGCAGGTCATACACAAACCTAAAGGTGAAGATTATCCACGCATTGTTTCAAGCTCAAAACTTGAAGCAATCGTTCAATCCTTCATCCGAGATCAAGTCATCATGACCCTTTGATCAACAACCTACGCATCTACATCAAATTTGAAGATTGAATCAGAGGAAAATTGTAAACAGAGATTGTAACCCTACAAATTCATCAATACAAATCTACTTTGTACACGTGTTCTCATTTCATTCGTTACAGAATTTTCATGTTTACAGCAGTTCCTCATTTTTCGTGCACACGTGAGCTAATGTCTCTCATAAATCCTGTATTTATAGCACAATTTCTTTTTTTGAGATAATACATTTGAATCCAGAGCGTCTCTACTACCTTGCAACGATAACGAGGCCGAATCACCATGTGTAAAAATAATACAAAGCGTTATGTACTCTGATTTACTATAAAAAGCATGGTCTTAGGTAATTATCCATGTTCAAGAAGAACGTCCATTCAAATTTATAGTTAGGGACAATTTTGGGACCATATTTTTCAAGGCCATAGTTCAGAATATGTGTACCTTATAAGTTTGATCATGGACTCAACAACTTCAATTTTGAGTTACTCAAACAGACCATCGATGCCACCATATCTTGCTGTACTCTGGAAAGGTAGGTGAAGTTTGCCGACTTCCTTGAGATTGATCATTCTTGTAAAGCAAGACACTAACCTGATCCGACTGGGGATCCGATGAGTTTCCTATTTTTGGAGATTCCTACAATCTAGGAACTAGCATGCGCCGCAAGTAATCATACTTCTAAGAGGACACAATATCTAATCCTCAATACCCTCTTGGATTCTTCCGATTTAATATGGATTCTATATCGTAAAAGTTATATCTCCCGATGTGTATAAATACCCTCATCTAGGGCATAACTCTAGTAACGCAATTCACTCATGCAACCCTCATCTAGGGCATAACTCTAGTAACGCAACTTACTTGTGCATACTCTTTGCTTATTCTCTTACTCACTACTTAAGTCTCAATATTGCTTACTAACATGGCCGCCGAAGTACTTTTGGCTAGTGTCCCACCGGTACCCTAGGTTAATCATGGTTATTTGTTCTATTACAGGTATCTGGATTTGCATAGCTCCTCCATCCACGTCGGTGCATGAGTTTGGTTTTAACAAAGATTATTTACCAAAGAAATGTTCCAAGACAAATAAGGCCGAAACATGTCCTCAAGCGAAGACACCATGTTAATTGTTATGGTTATCAAAGATACCGCTGATATGGAACAATCCCATTCAACTCAATAGGTCAAGTTAAAAGTTCAAATTGGCAAAGTGATTGTCTCAGGAGCAAAATAACTTGGACTACTTTTCAGTTGAAAAATAAGAATATTTGAAGAAATCATTTATTATTTCACGTCAATGTCTAAAACAAAATCATATTGAAGACACTGAAATGAAGAGATCTCGGCTCGGGATAAAGTATTATTGGCCCCCTCCATCATAGTTAGCCACTTTTATTCTTGCTTGTAAGACATTTATTTTCTTAACCATTCAGCTATTTAGGCCGATGCTTAAGAAAATAAGGGGGCAACAATCAGCTGTTTGCATAAAAAAAAATTTAAAAAAAAAACCAAGAACCAATACAATTTTAATGGGTGTTGTTTAGAACGAAGTTGAAAAGAGTTTACAAAAATTCGACATGTGGCAGGGGTGACATTTTGGCGTGTCAGGACATAATGGTGGCTTGCAGCGCTTGGTTTGAGGTCATAAATGAAATTTTGTGGTAGAGGTTGATTGGTGATGACATTTCAAAATCCTTTGGTCACTATTCGTGACTGAAGATTTCAAAAGCGAGGGGAGCAATGTTTGAGCCTAAAGTCCTAGGTTTGGGTTGAGTTGGTTGACAACCCATAAAGGAGGCTGTGAGTCTCAACCTAGTAATGTATTGTTGGTGGCGTGGTCAAGTCTTAGATGAAGTACGACTATTTAAGGATCATGTTTGGTTTCTAATATGGTCAAATCCTAAAAAAAGTAGGATTGTTTGAGGACCAAGATAGGTTTATGGGTAAATTATGAATTAATCGCATAATAAAATTAGATTTGGAATCCCAATTCAAATCGAAGAAGGTGAGATTCAGTGGTAATGAAGTTTTATTAGAAAATAATTTGAGGATAATTTCAAGTGCATCAAGAGAACAATCCAAAAATTTGCAATAGTACCAGACTCTCCAACCTGAACATCACCAATTTCATTGCATCCTTGTGTGAGGTACAGGTTCACTGAAAATGATGGAGGTCCCATCAACCCCAAAAATTTTGATCTTACTTAATCTTTCTAGTTGGCAGAGATGGCACCCACATACGGTTAAAAACAAAAGCAGTTTCACATGTTCAAGTAACTTAAATAAGACACAATTAGGTAATTGATTAGTGGGTAATAAAAGCCACGTGGATACACATAGCAAGCTGATAAAAACATATGCGACAACATGCAATTTTTCTTCTGAGTGATGTTGTCTATATATTATCTTTCACCTTTTATGCATTTTTAAAATTTTTTTATTATCAGATTGAATAAATTGAAAAAGATGGATGATTAAAAAATAATAACAAATGTGCGTGAGAGATAAAAATAAATGTTTGAATAGCACTATCATTTTTTTATGATACGTATCACTAAGTAGTATGTAAAATTACGGTTATATCCTTAAATATAAAAGAGATACAAGGAATCCTTAAAACAGCTAAATCTTAGATAAAACATGTACCACTTAGTTATATAACTAGAATGATAATTTTTACAATTTATACATTTTGCAACTCAAAACTATATGATATGTAATAAGTACTTAGGTAGGACCGAAATGACACATTAGGGTTAAAACACATGCATCGAATATAAAAGAGGAGACGTGAAAATGCAGATTTTAGGTTTAGGGTTTTGTTTTGTAGGGGTAGACTAAATATTTATTCTGAAAACATACATATGCATAATACATGCATGTTGTTTTTTCTTTATCTGTATGTTTGGTAAGGCATATATATATATATATATATATAATACATTACCGGGACAAAATTGAAAATTGCATAAAAAAAGTATAATAATATAACGAGAAGAACGATAATGACGTTTATATGTCTACAACATAAAGTTGTGTTATACTTAGTTATCATTATGTATGGTTATTTAGTGTGGAAAAGGTTATTTAAATAGGGGATTTAATATTTGTTGGTTCTTATTTTAGTTTTGATGGTTGCAGCGAACCTAAGATGTTGTTGAACTGATCCGTCCAAACAAGGATTTCGTTTGCTTTCTTCTTCTCCTTTCTTTCTTTCTTGCAAACAGTGTTTTGCACTGAAGAAAATAGAAAGTGGAAGAAAGATTTGCAAAAGAGTAATAAAGAGTGGTAATTAAAGTATGTAGAGGATAACAGCAGGTAGATTAGATAGCTACATCATGATTATTTCCATCTAAATTTTCTGCAGAGAGAGACTGAAAGATTCTCTGAGGTTCTTCAATAATAACCCCCGATTTTTATATATATTTTTCTGGTATTTTATACCAAGTTGCTGGCCTTGTCAAACAATGCTAGGGTAAAATATTTTCAAATATCATCATAGACTCGATAGTTTAATTTTGGATAAAAAGCAAAGAAAGTGGGTAGTTAACCAACTTACCATGGCATAATTAAACCTAACCCTGGGATTAATTTTGTGAACAGAATTTAAAAAAGGTTTTGACATGTAGAACAATAATTAGCTCATATGCTTTGGTTTAGTTTATGGGTAGTGTTATCTACGCATTTATTTTTACTTTTTTTATATCCTTTTCAATTTTTAATCGTCGGATTGATTGAATTAAAGAAAATCAATGAAAAAAAATTAATAAAGATGTATGAGAAACAAAAATAGGTGTGTAAATAATATTGTCCTTATATGTGGTTTTTTGTTTTTATTTTTTAGTATTTTCAAATGTTTTTTAAAAGTGACGGTGGTGATGGTTCTATTACCTCTATAGTACCATTCAACAACCATCATCCCTGATTTGGTTGCTTGCCCACCTCACAATATTCCAATAAACATATATATATATATATATATATATATATCTCATTCACTGAATTAATTTAATTTTAACCTGATTAAATATATCTCCTTTTCCTCCTTTCACACTGTGAACCAAGGCCACAACTCTCCTCTCATTTGACTAGTTGCTCTCTCTCTCTCTCTCTCTCAGAAACACCTACGTCTACCCCACGCTGATCTTTTGAGTGGAACCTTGAACACAGAAGCAGCTTCTCTTTTAGAGAAGAGAAAAGGCTTAGAGAACAACCCCTTTTACTCTCTCTCTCTCTCTCTCTCTCTCTCTCTTATCTTCTCTATATTGAAACCCTAATTGACCTTTAACCCAAAAATAGTAAAAGGAAGAGGAGCAATCTCTGATCGATAATACTAATAGCTTTCATTTCTTTGTGTAACAGTCTCTTTCTGCAACCATCAATTTTCATGATCCGTGTCTGCATCCGTGGCCGCTGTGTGGGTTGTTTATTATTCTCTTCCTCACTACGCTCGCATACGGCATACCCTTCTGCAGCTCCAGGACAAACAACCCACCAAGCTCTGTCCTCTCGCGGCCCTCCCTTTCAGATCTCACAGCTTTCGTTAATTCCAGCAGACATGCATACATATGGCTTCTTGTAGTGGTACTTTTCTCAACAGCTTAGCTCACACCTCTCTCTCTCTCTCTCTCTCTCTCCCTCTCTCTCTCTCTCTCTCTCTCTCCCTCTCTCTCTGTGCCTCTGTTTGTTTGGTAGCTTGCTCTTCTTAAATGAGTTTGTATTTTAAGTAACCAAATCTCTCTACTCCTTCATATCTTTGTCCCCTTTTACGTATTTCCATCTCTCTCTCTCTCTCTCTCTCCCTCTCTCTCTCTTATGGATTCTGGTAATAGTGGGAGTTTGCAATCCTCCAGCGGCGGCGATGACGAGTACGACTCGCGCGCCGAGTCAATCTCCGCCTTGCTCAGTAACCCACCGAGTCAACTCGGTCCCATGTCTAACCCACCACCACATCACCACCACCACATGGACCCTTTGTCAAACATGTTCGATCCGTTATCATCCAGGCTCACCAACCCAAACCCACTCCTCAATTTCGACATGATGTGGCCCAAAACCCTAAGATCCGACCCCAATCCCATCGATCTCGGCGGCCTCAGCCAACCCTTTTTGACCAATCCCAGTATCAACCAATTAGGACAAAACAGAGGCGGCGCCGCCGCCGGCGGAGGAGGAGGCGGGTCGTCTACATTTGCGGCGCTTCAGATCCCACATGATCATCAAAACATTTCGGCCTCTTCTTCGGCTCCCGACAACCAAACCCACAACAACAACATGAATAACAACAACGGCGTCGTTCGGAATCCGAAGAAGAGGTCGAGAGCGTCGAGGCGAGCACCGACGACGGTCCTGACAACAGACACCACAAATTTCAGAGCCATGGTTCAGGAATTTACAGGTATCCCTGCTCCTCCATTTTCTTCTTCCTCGCCTTTCCCAAGGAGCAGATTGGACCTTTTTGGCAGTGCTGCGGCTGCCTCTTCATTGATGAGATCAGCAGCAGCAGGAGGAGGAGGAGGAGGTGGTGGTTTGGGTTTGGACGCTCCTCCTTCATACCTTTTGAGGCCTTTTGCTCAAAAAGTGACACACCAACCGCCATCTTCATTGCTTGATCCCGTTAGTTCAACCTCCACAAATCACAATCTCCTCAATCTGCACAACCAAAACCCTTCATCATCATCTTCTTCACAAGTTCTCAATTTCCAATCCCTTTTTCAATCCCAGCAACAAAATCCTAAATACCCATTAATTTCCATTAATTCACCACCTCATCATCATCAAGCAGGCTCTTTGGGGGGCCCTCATCATCAACATTTTGGCTTGACTCAACAGCAGCAGCAACAGCTTAATGTTAATGCGCTTTCCAACAACAATATCGTATCCTCCTCGGACGCCGCGCTTTCCAGGCACGACATTAGTAATGGTCCAAGTTGGGGTACTGGCGTAACTGGGTCCAACAAGAACATCGACAACAACAATGTGGTTGATCATCAAAGACTAATGAGTTCTATCAATGGAAATTACGGCAATGGGAAACTCAACTACTCGGCTACTGGTTCTTCGTCGAATGTTGTGCTTCATGGCGGTAATGTGCCTCCAACAACAACTGCCGCTGCTACTACTACTACCGCCACTCGAAGCGAAGGTATGGTGGAATCATGGATTTGCTCCTCAGATTAGGCTTTTTCACCACCAAAATTATTACACTAAAATTCACCAAATCATGTTCTGTGGGTTATCCTCCCTCCGTTTTAACCATGACCACCACCAACAATTAAATTATGAGGACACTTTTTATTTCCCTTTACTCTTCTTTCTTGAATTATATGTAAATAATAGACTCCCTCTCGCTTTCTTTTTGTTCATACTTCATACACGAGCCATTTATATATTGTAACTCCAATACTAAAATGCTAGTTGTTGATAGAAATCATGTGTGTTCATATATGGCTCTGATCAAGTTTGACCACTGTTGAAAGGTGTAATCTGAATGCATGGTTCCTCCCCGCACATCATTTTTCATAAATGATCGTTTAGTTAAATTTCAGCCATTCTTTATTGTTTTTTTTATGCTTAGTAGAGCAAAGTTACAGATCTATGGAATATCATCAATCAGATAAATAGAATATATTTAATCAATAAAAAATAAATACCCCATGAACAGGTTTCAATTGCTTTCCTCGTACCTTCACTTATGCTAAATATGTTATTTGAATCTTATCTGAAACCAAGCGGCAGCAAAATATTTTAGTACAGCTACTACTGTACCGCACCAAATGGCCTGAGAAGTGAGAGCATTGTCTGCTTGCTTGCTGTAGGATTCCCCTACCCTTTAATTTCATATTAATCTTTCAAATTTCAGTTTTTATTTATAATTAATTTGTTGAATATTTTATGTCATGTCTTGGAGTGATTGGTGGCGGGATTTGGGGTGTGGTTAGCCGCCGCAATCTCTTATCATACGAATCAAATATCTTTCATGTGCGTGTGTTTTCCAGTTCTTTCCTTCTTTTCCTTTTCTTTATTGTATTTTTTTATTTTTATTTATATTAAAATTGAAAGATTGATACCCAACAGTTTTTTTCATGAGGAATGAGGATCGTCCATGGCATACGTTGCACTCCATTAAATGCGCATATAACTTTAGCTCGGTTCACACTTACATATCTCCATGCTTCTACTGAAGCAAAAGATAATAAATAAAAATACAACACTTAATGCCATGTACTTCCGGAACAAAGTCATATGAACTCTTTTTAGTTGTCTTTAAGCTACATCCACATAAATTTCGATTATTGTCTTTTTTTAACAACCACGGAAAATGAATTCTGAATTCCTTCCTTCCCTTCTTGTTTCAGGCTTAAATATCAAATGTTCTCTGTGGTATACGATAAAACCTCTATTGATAAAAAATAATATTAGTCATAAAAAGAATTTTGGTTCAGCTTGGGCTGTGTATATATGAATAAACTTTACACCGTAATACGTTATAATTTGAGACAAGGTGTGTGTTTGTCTTTAACGTCTACATAACATTAAGGAGTAACCTCATAATAGTCACAAACTGGTTTGGTCCCAACATTCTTAGGAGGATGGTGCTTATCACTGAAACTGTCAATTTGTTTGACACACATAAATAGCTAAATGATTTCTAAATTGCATGATTTTTTCCAAAATGATCTTTAAATGATAATAAAAAAAAAATAAAAAATATCGATTATGATGTTTGTACCATCCAAATACGTTTATAATCACAAGTGGATGGACAAGAGATTCCCCCAGTTTTTAAATCTGTTTCACTCCATTTGCTAACTTGGTCAATTCTGTCTAAGTAGAAAAAAATGCGTAAACATTTCAAAAGTAGCAAAAGAAATTATCATTTGAAAACCATATAAATTTAAAGTTAGAAAAATTTATGGTATGGTGAAAGGTAAAACAAAAATTTATAGTATCCAATTTGAGTTTGATCTCTGAGTGATGTATCTGTTTTGGCATACCGTTAGACCGGGACGTTTTGAAATAGGTGACTCAATTTTGAATTTTTTAAATTAAATATTTATACCTTTTAGATATTTCATTAAACTCTTCTTCTCATAATTTTGGTGCCACATGTATTAGAATTAATATTTTTGTACCAAAATTACATAACCTGCCACTGCCCCATAGTTCTTAAAACCTCACGCCAAAATTTCCTATAATCTAGCATTTTGATTACTCTCTACCTCTTTGGAAATAATTGTGTAAAAAAAAAAAAAAAAGCGTAGTTAAATACATTTTATTTTCATAATACTTCCTACAATTTAGCAATGATTATCTACACTTTAATATATATATATATATATATTTTTTTTTTTCAAAACAATTTAAAACATTTTAAAATCCAACAAAATCAAACCTACCAAAAATAGGACTGACAATAGTATAAACATACCAATAAATAATGAGTACAAAATCGAACATGCCAAAACTGAAAATAATGTACCAATATCAACATATATACCAAATCAAATGTACCAAAACATACCAATCAATATTTTTTTACAAATTCAAACATACCCAACGATAATATATACATAATATGTTGTACCTACTAATAGTTTGTCAACAACTATAAGTAAAAAAAATGCAAAGAAAAATAGTCCAACAAAAAAAAAATGAAAAAATTACTGTGGATCAACAACGATTTGGAAAAAAAAAAAAACCATAAAATCAAACCATTTGGAAAAAGATAGAATATTTAATGTTTGTAGGACAAAATAATTTATTTTGATCGAAAGAATATAATTGGAAAAAGAGATAATAGAGTTAATAACTAATATCCTATTAAATAAGGGAAAACAAAACACATCCAACAACTTAGAGGATAAATTGAGAAATTAATAATTAACATTTTATTTTCAAAAAAATATATATAATGATATGTAATGTAAATTAACTGAAAATCCTGAGGTGTATATTGGTCAAAGCACTTTAATCAAATTTTGAAAATACACATATGTTTAGTCCAAAAGATATAAAAAAAATTGTAGGGGATTCTAATTTTCTCTAAATAATAATCAAACACAATGACTATTTTGACATATAAGCCTCTATTTTTATAGTACATTCGATATAAGGATAGGGAAGTGGACTAAATCTCACAACACTAGCAATAATAATTTGGAACCTAAGATCTTTCATTTATAAGTAAAGATAAATACTACTACTACTATTAAGTTGCTACACGTCTCTATTTTTTAACACCAACGGAATGAACGATATCAAACAACAGGAGCAAACATATGTACTAATTTGGCCAAATTAAAACTACAGAGACTAAACTGGTCATATGAGTAAAACATATGACTGTTTGAGCTTTATTGTATAGCATTTTCTAGCATTCTTGCATCCTATTAGAGTAATTAAAACTTTTTTTATACCACATCATGTGTCACTGCAATGCAAGCGTACATCAAATGCGTTTACAAGACAATATAAAAATAAGCATCATTTGGTTCCAGTTCCTAATTAAATTAATTGTTAGACTAAAATCTTGTTTGTTTAAATATTTTGATCAAGGTCCTTAACATCATTTAAAAGATTTAACTCATGCATTTATGTATTTAATTTCCCACAAATTATGAAATTTAAACAAATTCAAATAATATTCTTAAAATATAATAAATACTTGAAATTAAATATTAGAGTAATATCGTTCTTCACAAAATTATTGCAAATAATGTACCCACATAATTATTAACATATTTTAAAAAATAACTACTGATATAGTTTAAAACATAAAATAAATACATATAATTAGCATGGGTACATTTAGCAAAATTAAAAATGGGTACAAATATATTAAAAAATATGGGTAACTTTAAAAAAATATGGGTACAAAAAGAAATTACTATATGGATACAAATAAAAATTGGAAAGAAAATTGGTACAAATTAAAAAAGGGTTGCAAAGTAAAATTGGGTACAAAGTAAAAATAAAAATATATGATAAAAAGTTTAGCCATAAATATAAATATATCAAATGTAACATTTCTAAAACTAAATGAATATATTTAGAAATAAAAAATATTTTATTATTGAAATAATTAATAAAGTTTATTAAAACCTAATGACATTGATAAAAAAAATTAAAAACAAATAAGGTTTTAATCAATGGAATAGCAAAAAGAAGAATGAGAAACTATTTTCTCCTAAAAATAACATGCACGTAAAGGCAAAATTGACACGGACAAAACTTACACTACCAACTAGAAAGCCCACATCATTAAAATTAAGCATGATGCTTAACCAAGAGCACATAACCGAAAACAACATAAACCATAAGAAAATTATAGAATTGTCTTCGTCAAACCAGTGACATCTACCTAGGAAAACACAATCGCCTGAAAGAGTGTCGTCGTCAAACGAATCACATCTACCTAAGAAAACATTATAGAATAGAGACGTATCTTAAGAAAACTTGATCTTCAGCAAACCAACCGCGCATAATAGTGAATAACAAGAATCCTTTTGTGACGATGTTAACCAAAACCAACTAAGAAAATGCACCAAAATCCATCGTAATAAACAGTTAGATTTAGCAAATAGATAAATTTAGAGGCATGATTTTGGATGGATGATTGGATTGAAAAAGAGAGAATAAGTGATGCTGAACTCAAAGTCTAAGCATGGCTTAAACGAAGACTGAGTTACCACAAAGTTATTCTTATTCACCACAATGGATTAAGTCAAAGGGAATAATAACAAGGGAAAAAAGAGTAAGGAAGGAGGAAAAACATAAGTACGTGCTTTTAATACATGTCACATGTTGAAAAAAATAAAAATAAAAAATGAAAGCACCCTAGCAAGCGTATGAAAAATGAACTTTTACTTTTGTTTTCTCTGTGATTTTCTTGTCACCAAAACTAGGAGCAAATCCCGAATCATGGGGTTAATGTTATGTCCATTCTAGTTAAGTGCTATGTCATAAATTTTCTGTCCAAAAATGTTGTCCTTAGTATTGACTCGAGAAAATCTCACTTCATTTAGGACAATGATCCGTCCTTTATAACTATAATTTTTGGCTTGAGGCTAAAAATTGGATATTTAAATCCTAAAATGTGATACAAAAATGCTTAGCCCACTCCCCCACTTCTTTAGGGTAGATTATATCGTTTGTTAAAAAAATGATATCAACTAGGG